TCTTATCAACCTTTTAATAATTTCTTGTACTTGGGTGCCTTGGCCGTGGCAGATTGGTGATAGTCGCCTGAATTACGCTCTACAGCATCCAGGCGAGAAGTCAACGTCTCCACTTGCTGTCGGGCGATGGACGATCCACGGGTTCGTTGATCCGTCTCGCGTTCCAAGTCCGCTTTGGCTTTTATTTAAACCGTTTTAAGCTCCCGGATCACGTCTTTATAGCCCAAGCGACGTGCTAGCTCCGTTTGGAATGCGCGCGACCGCTTAATCAATCTCTGGTGATCGGTCCTGATGCCGAGATAATGCTCTTGGACATAGGTCGCCAAGCGCGGGGCGATCTTAACGTACGATGGCAACTTTGTCCGTAGCCGGTCGATTTCCAGTTTCTGGTCTCGACATACCTCCTTAAAGGAGTGTTAATCTCGAACAATCGCGTCCTGATATTCCAGTTGATCGTAGGTGCCGCGATCCCCGAGCTCAAGGTATCGCGATCTATAAAGGACGCAGTACTAACCCGAGACGAAGGATCCACGGCATGCCTTTCGCTAGTCGAAACCGGCAGTTGAGGAAAGGCGGGATCGAGTTATCAGCCTTCGAGCTCGAAGGTACAAACGATGCAGTATTCACGGCTGTTGTGAGTGCACAGTCGATCAACACTGTATGTCGATCGCCGGTGCAGGGGACGACTGTGGTGAAGCGCAGAAGAATAATGATGGAAAGTGTGGATCGCGCCAAACGCATTAAGTGCGAGATCAATCTGATTGGTGAAGCGCGCTCGAAGATAAGCCCGTTGGTACGAGGGATAGGATCAAACGCCTGAGTGACGGAAAATGACTGTGTAAATTATGCGATTTGATCTACCTAACGGTCATGAAGGAGTATAGTCAAGGATCGACGATTGCCCGATCACGATCCGCGATCAGGAGCTTGGACCACCAAGTTAGAAGGACCGGATAACTCGAGAGGTGAACATCAACTGGATTGCTGGATCGATAACGATGATGGAAGATAGATGAATACGGAAGCAAGCTGGAGGAGTGGACTTCCAAGATCATCAAACATCACGATCTCAGAAGTGACGACGATTCGACAGTGGATACCCGATCAATGACTCGGGAGATTGATCACAATCCAGCCTAGGCGTAGACTACTCGATTGTGTGCACACATAATTGTGTGGACACATAATGGATGTGGATCACATAATTAATGTGCATCACATAAATAATGTGCACCACATACCGCGATCCAACACCCGAGCGATCCACACCGGAGCGATCCACCCCGGTGCGATCCATCCCGGTCCGATCCACTACCGAGCGAACCACTACCGAGCGATTCACTACCGAGCGATCCGCCATCCGAGTATATGCTGTGGACCACGTGATGCAAAAGGTGAATTACATAGACATGCGATAGGCAACAGTGATCTAGAGAACAGATAGGCATATTTATAGGTTTTGAGGTTTTTTTGGTTGGTTGGTTGACATTAAACAGGATTGAATTTGCAACGAAAGACACGTGTCGACTTCTCCCGGGCACGAGCTTTGGCCTTCCGTTGAAAAGAGAGCGACCGGCGGCTACACAAACTTTGCTTTCGGATTGTTTGGCTAGGCGGAACATCAGTTCTCAACCCCCCCCCGTCCCAACTGCGATTAGACGCAGTGAACCTTACGGTTCAGATTCAAGATCGCGAGACGGCTCAAGTGGTCAGCAGGCTCGCGGATCAAGAATCACCCTTGGATATAGGCGGCTCTGGGAGATCGCCTAAGTACACACGCGATAGAGAGAAGAATTTCCACTCGATCCACCCCACGTCTGACCGAGTGAAGAGTTTCCACCCGATCAACCTCTATCCCAAAAACGGTCAATTTCAGCCTCAGCTACAAGTCCACCAAGAAGAGCGCGACCCGCCCAAACGACGGGTACACAAGGTGAGCAAGAAGACACAGAGCACGGAATCGGGGTACCCTCTCCGTTAATAGGTCGTCCGGGCACCAGTGAAGAGTCGGGGTTACAAGTAAATTGTGATCACCACTCCACCACAATCACATCAGCAATTTCGTAAATCCCGCTCCACCACACCTTGTTGTCATACTATATCATAAATTAACACAACGTTTATTACATATGATCTGCTCAGTACCCATTGTAGACGTCTAGCAGAGATGAATGGTAGTAGGAAATATTATGACTTACACCGACTAATGAGTTGAGCAATGCCGAATATATGATCGACGGGAAAACAGCCTTAATATTTACCTAGTAACGTATAGATTTGTGAGTTTTATCACTAAAACTATATTTGCGCTGGCTAAATTTAGTGAAAGTTAGAAGTATCGGTCTTATGCTGTTGCACATACAACCTAGCCAAAAAAGGAGGGAGCAAAAAAAGTACCACATGCTAAAATGTTTAAAAGGTGCTGCGTGCATTTGCCCAAAGCAGGAATTTGAGAAAATGCAAGTTCATACCATGTTTGCTACCATTCAGACGATCTTAACGAATGGAGGTAAACCATTGACCTCTGCGAGCGCAACAACATGCAAGCAATATTTAAAACGTAACTGCTGGTCATGGAACTTCATGATGAATCAGCTTTATTTTGGAGATACCGGTGCGTACTTCATGGCATACTCATTGCAGGAGGCTAAACACAAACAAAATGGGCAACCGTCCGCTTGTAATGGCACATTACGAGATACCTTCACTAACACAGTGTAGACATGTGACGTGAATCCCCGCATACATTGTACGTCTAGAGGAAAGCCATATCATTCTACAAACGGACACGTTTATCAAAAGATAATTAGTAGACTGTACATGTAGTAAATGTCCTTTCGATCTTACATTAAACATTTTGATCGACATACGTCCAGTGAAGCTACCCGCTCACCATCCATTCCGCGCGTCTTAAATCGATTGGTAGTTAAGGTTGGTTGACGTGATGGCCTTTACCAAGCCATTTGTAGAGCAGCGATGATTCTTACCTACAATGGTGTTACTTCTTTAATATTGCTTTGCTAGTGAATCTTGCTCAATATTATCAATCAGGATAAGGTTCTCATTGACCCAGGATATCAATCACATGTAACGGACTTGCCCGTTACAACAAAGCCGTTTGGGCCTCTGATTGCGTTGAGGGTGAAAAGTCTGCTTCTTTTCTTACAAACCGTTCTCCATATTGCACAACCAAAGTTGCAGATTTTGTCTATTTTATACGTTGTGGTAGTGCGGAATAATGGGATTGATGCAGCAAGAGGGGAGGAGACTAGCGAAGAACTAGCAGTGGCGTGATGCTGACGTAATTGGATAATCTCTGAAGATTCGAAGACTGAAGCGACAATGAAACGCTCGTTGTGGTTACCGCAGGGTCAAGAGTCTAGTGGTGACCAAATAGAAGGTGAGAGCAACGAATTTTCTTATCTGTATGAGATGAGGAATGCAGGGTCAAAGGTTCAACGCAGGCACTGAAACACCGACGACTGACATAATTGATGATGTGACATTTTGTGAAGCGCTACGCGTAAGATCGACGTCAATGAAGCACTCAAAGGCAATGAGCACATTAGTTTACAAGCGTTCTCTAGATTGATCTAAGATTGACAATAGAGGGAGACCAAACATACGAACGTGGACCGAGCATGCATCACCAGCATGACTGAGTCGCATGTCTCGCTGAACAAGAGCCAGCCATGCAAAGCGTATACGAACGTAAGGCACTTGTTTCGCATCATTCCTTGTGAATGCGGTCGTGAACTACAGCACACCAACACGGACGATCGACATGGTAGTCTGTCTACACACGTAGCTCAATGCCAGCGAGCAGTCACTGAGCACGTTTCTTAGTGACGTGACGTTGCTCGAGCCAAATGACATGGTGCTAGAATGTCCTCTTCGGTACAGCTGCGCAACCACACACTGCCACAGCGTAATGACGCGATCTAACGATAGCGGGCGCGTAAAGGCTGTTGCGGTGGAACGACGCGACGTCACGTTACAAACAATGATTGGCTCGATGCAGCTTCGCGACCACACGATAGCGAGCAAGCGCTGACTTCCACGCTTTTCCGTCAATCTCACAAGCGTATGCGAATTGCATTGCGTCACAACGCTGTGCAATGTCACACTACCTTTGGTCGGGCTTTCCATGGCAGACCCGGACGTAAACATCGTTCACAGCATGTCGTTACATACAAAAGTGTACTAAAAAGGCGCAATGCTATCGTTTGTATCTGTCTGATGGGGCACTGGCCGACTTGAAGACAATGCGAGAACGAACCGCGTGCCACGAACTTGTTTCCAGCTCTTGTGAACAGATGTAAAAGAACTTGCGTCATTTCAATGCGGATGCGGAGCAGAGGCAAACAAATTACCTCGTGCTGTCCGATCCTCCCGATACGTACGTTCTGCAGTCATTCTTATGATCCACGTATGTCTGTTCACCACGCACCAGATGCTGTTTATTCTCTACCCGAAGGTTGGTCTGCACCATGTAGTGGGGGACTCAGTATCGTGGACCACTCGAGCACAACCCAGGGCTTTCCAGAACCTTTGCGGACAAAGGGAAGCTGTAGCTTAGGAGCCCACCAGACTGGCGCTCCCCTCATTGACGCGTGCTTGTCCGACCTTGGCCCCGAAGCCACAAGTGTTCACACCCAGGTCGCTGCCCCGTTTCATGCGCCGATTCTGTGCTTGTGACTGTTCAGCACATCGCCACGGCTTCCTCACTTGCAAAAAACAATTGACGAGGGGACAACACGTACACAGCCGCCGCAATAGCATCTGTACGTCGATACAAAAGCCAGTCATCTTCTCTCCTTTAAACGTCAGGTGGATAGGCGCATCGCCCCTTCATTCTGAACGCTCTCTTCGCCTCACCCGTGGGTAGCTCTCATTCCTCGTTTCGCCTCCAAGACCTATCTTTGTCTCACACGTGGTAGCTCTCGCTCCCCGTTTCGCCTCCAAGACCTTTCCTCTCGTTCAAAACCGCTTTGATTTCCATGCGCCGACCCGTCCATCTGCTCGTGGCTGTGGCTGTGGCTGTGCTGTTTCTCTCTACGGGTGAGGTGATTGTCACCACGGCGTCGACGGAGCACTCATCTCTTCGTTCGACTTCTTCGACTGGTGTTGCTGCCCGCCACGACGCCCGATCATTGCGAGCGCTGAATGGCTTTAGCCAGCTCTCGGCGTCGTGGGCTGCGGAGATCAAGCGTTACGTACCAGGAACTGCTAAATACGACGCAGCAAAGAAGGCTAGAGCTGAGAAAGCCGAGGCCTTACGGACGAAGAAAGCCGTAGAAGCACAGAAGATGAGAGATTCTGAAACAGCTAAAGTAGCAAATGAAGCAGAGATGGTGTTACGAGAGCTGCTCGGCCATAACGACCAGAAGGCAATGGCGAAGTTGATCGATGACACAGGAGGATTTGAAAACTTTGTGGTGAAGCTATCAGAGAAACCCGAATTATGCAGTGAATTGCTGTTGAAGCCGTTAGCATTTCATCACCAGAATATTCTTCGGGTTACAGAATTGCTTGTAGATGCAACAATCTATAAATCTTTTGAAGTGCGGGCTGCAGCTTTGAAGATCGCTCACATGTACAAACTGTTCCGTGCACAACTTTAGGCAGAACAGAACGTAGAAAAGCTGAAGCCATCCGCCTAAAGTTACTCGACAAAGAGATTACCTGATCGTGTCTCTGCGAGCCATAATCCAGGAGATCAAACCGAACAGAAGCATTGACCATTCGTAGTGTTCGTGTTCCGTCCCATTGACCTTTCGTCAGTTGTCGTTGTGCTTGTGATCAAAAGTCGTGCATTAGTGCCCTCACTGTGCTTAGCTTTGCCCCGTGCTGCGATGTGCTGTCGATTGGTCGTTTTATTTGTTCGTATGTCAGTATCTAAACGGGTTTGTTGTTCTTTGCTTGCTACTGATAGGAAAGGGCAGAATACGCAAGCCTACACTTGTGCGTGGCAGGAGAGTTCCAGACGCTCGACGATTCAAGCGTTGCCCGCTGCCCTGCTGGTTTGTATCACGGGATGTGGCAATTGACTCAGCACTCAACAGGTTGTTACCGATGCAAAGTAGGAAGCTTTTGTTTTGATGTTGAACCGCTGTCTTTGTGTGTGTGTGGCTGTTTGTTTAATTGTTTGTTTGTTTGTTTGTTTGTTTGTTTGTTCGTTTGTTGTTTGCTCGTTGCTGCTTCTGGTGGTGGTGGTCAGAACACACACCACAGAGTGACAGCGATACAAATAACCTACGGGTCCTTCTCGTCGATCATCAGTACGACAATGCAGTACCTCTATGTGACAGATAGGCTACAGTTGGCAATGCTGTGATGATAATGACCGCACAATCAATAACTTCGGTCACTCCGGCAGATGGCCTAGCATACTTATCATGATTGCGCTGGACGAAACCAAACTTTGAATGCGTCAGACTTCACAAGATCCAGCACGACCGAGAAAGGCTTGGTGTATGACGGGCGCTGGATATAAGGTGTAACATACGACGACTATGGAGTAGAGCACGATTTTCAGGATGAACGAGATGGTGCCAGTGGACTCTTCGACATTTCAATACAATCTGGATAGATGGTAGAGTGCCAATGCTTTCCCACGAACTGCAAAAACATGTTGCGGACGTGAACGCGTCAATTAGCGTGGGTGGGCGAAAGGTGGCGTTAGTAGGTAGCGTGCTGATGTAGTAGCAACTTTTGGCGTACATCCTTTGGCCCATCTGAGCGTTTAGGCGTAGATAGATCCTTTGGATCATGTGAATTTGGTAGTCATTCAATGAAAGGATAAAAAGCATGTGGGTTCGACAGCCATCTAACATAGGGATATACACCACTATTCAGGCAGAAAACCACAATCTACGTCCATTGTCGATCCAGTCTAGCGAAGTAAAATAGTCAATTCGCTAGACTGTGTGCGGTCATTCTCATCCCAGCAGTGCCAAGTGTAGCCTATCTGTCACATAGAGGTACTGCATTGTCGTACTGATGATCGACGAGAAGGACCCGTAGGTTATTTGTATCGCTGTCACTCTGTGGTGTGTGTTCTGACCACCACCACCAGAAGCAGCAACGAGCAAACAACAAACGAACAAACAAACAAACAAACAAACAAACAAACAAACAATTAAACAAACAGCCACACACACACAAAGACAGCGGTTCAACATCAAAACAAAAGCTTCCTACTTTGCATCGGTAACAACCTGTTGAGTGCTGAGTCAATTGCCACATCCCGTGATACAAACCAGCAGGGCAGCGGGCAACGCTTGAATCGTCGAGCGTCTGGAACTCTCCTGCCACGCACAAGTGTAGGCCTGCGTATTCTGCCCTTTCCTATCAGTAGCAAGCAAAGAACAACAAACCCGTTTAGATACTGACATACGAACAAATAAAACGACCAATCGACAGCACATCGCAGCACGGGGCAAAGCTAAGCACAGTGAGGGCACTAATGCACGACTTTTGATCACAAGCACAACGACAACTGACGAAAGGTCAATGGGACGTAACACAGACACTACGAATGGTCACTGCTTCCGTTCGGTTTGATCTCCTGGATTATGGCTCGCAGAGACACGATCAGGTAATCATTTGTCGAGCAACATTACGGCAGGTAGGCTTTGTATCGATCTTGCGACATACAAATCCTGGGTGGTAGTTGCGATAGAACGTTTAGCACGCGTAAGCGACACTTAACGCCTTAAGTCCACGTTAGGGCGACTCACCTGAGTCGTGTTGATGCAAATTCAGAAGCCTGTAGGTCGCATCGGCTTTTGTACGATCGCGATTGTCAAAAACATATTTGCTTTTTATTCGCGATTCGACGGCTTCACTCGCAAATCATTAGTATAAAATTGAAATTGCAACGATGCTTGTACTTATACACGACAAGCTACATGCACTGACCGAAGTGTATACAAGTGCCTTGGTACCTCACGTACACAGCACGGTCATATGCAGGCAAGTCTACCAAAAGCTCATGCTAAGTAGGAGAAAAAAGTATGACCGTATTATACTTTTTTGGTGTTTTATCGCTTTATTTCCTGACTTTACTTCAGCTCTGTCAAAACAACAAATTTCTCCTACAGCTGCTCACCACCCATTGCACGCTTCTAGTCGTGATTTGTGTGACAGTTGCTTGATCTTTTGGCCTATCGCAACAATGAGAGCCGAATATTACCTTCCACGGTTTTATTTCTTCCGTATGTACTCAGTAAGGTAAATGTCGTACAATATTGTCAAATAAGATAATATCCGCTTGGACCCATTTTTGAGCTTAATGACATGTGAAAAGCTCACTCCGCTACACGTAATCAAAGAAAGCACCAAAGACGCAGCAGAATGTAGTCGTATTCGGGGCCACCATCATGGGTATGCTACTCACACATTGAACAGACAGAGTAACTCTGAAAAGATGTTGATATGCTTTGTAAATTTTGTTGTCCGCAGTATCTATCAAATGAACTGGAGGAAGTCAAGTGTCACTTTCCTCGCTCGGCGGCAGACAAAGTCCCTCTACAATATCGTTTATTAGCATTTCGTACCACGTCATTGGCCAAACTTTGTAGTGATTGTTGTTGTTAGTATTCCTTTTTGTTGTGGTAAATACTGGTGTCGTTGTTGCGATCAATATCAGCCAATCACTATCCTTCCTATAATCGTCACTTTGATACAATATCAACGGCAAATATGTTTGCAGCCATCAGCGAGAACGTGGAATACTGCGATCATCACGCACTGCACAGCGCACGAAACTGTGTCCCACCGCCGATCACGGCAATCGAAAAACAGGATCAACCCGATAGAATATAGTTTCTCGAAAACGCATTTCATAGGGTGATCTCCAGAGCTTTCTCCTCAAACGTCTTTCTATCGCACTATATTTAAACAAGAATACGCGATCACGCCATAGTAAACGAATTATTATCCAATCACGAACTTGTCACGCGCGTCGACCATACGAAGAGCTATGACTGGGCTTGCTTTGCAAGCTTTTTATCAGCGCTGAAAACATGTTTTTCTCACAAATAAACACCTTTTGCCTTTGTTTTTATAAAGTTTGTCAAATTCAGATGCGCAATCTCCTTCGACGCGCTGGTTTTTTCTCGAATTCCGAGGTGATGCCTATTTGTATCTGTTAAAGGGGCGAGACACGACTGTACAATCGGACTCGTAGTATACACTCGGCATGCGATTTATCAGTGTGCTGCGACTAACGCTGTCGCGGTAGTGCGTTCCTGCTGAAGATGGCTCGATATATAGATGCGACCCAGTCCCTCGCACACATCACTACGCGTGGCTGACATGCTTGCGCAAGGCATCTTCTACCATGTTCCTGATTTGGTAACAAGTAACTAGACGTTAGCACACATGGAGCTAAGACTGCTCAAAGGACTGGATACGTTTCCAGGCATCAACGTTTGCCGATGTCGACCACCTCCATTCCTCTTACGTATATCGGTAAGCAGTGGTCGTCGTGTAGTTGCTTTCTAGTGATACTCAACGTCAGTAGACTTCGCATCGAGAGTGAGTCCGGGAACCGCACGCCGTCTGTCAAGGTACGAAACAGTAGCCAGCCTGCAACACGCGGAGGTGCAGTAGAATGAAAGCTGACAGTTTACATGCCCAGCACGAAATTGCAGTACGGATGAGGAAGGTGACTTGAAGGTGATGTCGAGGGAACGATAAGTCTCCGACAGAGAGAGTCCGTATACGGCCCAGCTTGAGACCGCGGTGAGTCAACTGCTGCAATGGCGCGTTGTAGACACGTCCACAAAGAATCGTATTTGGAGAGCGCAGCTTCGTGCCGGCGACGGTTTCGACAAGTAAGAGCCGACGACATCGCGCCTAGTCATGCAGAGGTTCTATGTATAAAGAAAGCAACACAAGGAGCGCGTTGCAATATGCCTACAACGAGAGGCTGCATGAAGTGAAATATTGTTCGTCTCCTAACTCTCACGTGAGAGGCGCGCCCAGCTGAGCATCGTGGCTAAGTCGACTCCACAAGCCGCCGATCGGGTGGTTCAAAAGGAGCAGCGGATGCAAAACAATGACTGAGCGACGTCGAGGTGTTGCCGCCTTTGCGCTCGCGTCACGAGCGAACGCTCTTTTGACCATCCGATCCTCCAATCATGAGATATTTCAACGGCAGGCGGACGCAACGCGAAAGCGATACCGTGCTAGCACCAATGCACGCTTGATGGGCGTTCCCGCCGCTGAGACAGCGAGGGAGTCGCGAGACATGTCAGCAGGCAATGTCGCGCAACAGACCGTCCAGCGGCTGCATGGAAAAAGAGAGCAACTGAGACAAGAAGACGCTCGCAACATCAAGTGGCGTCCAGATGAGAGTTGTCGTGTTTACACCCACAACGACGCGCACGCGTCTTTGTCGACCTCACATACTCAGTCGAGCGCCAACCACTTCGTAGCGGTGGTACGTACCTCCTCCCAGACTCAACTTACCGTGCGCTCTGATCCGACGGAAGAAGCTGTGGTAAGGTATCATCGACCCATAGTCTCTCGATTCTGCTGTCTTTGCTCGCATGACGCAACGGATTGAAAATCCAGCAAAATGACGCACGGCTCGAAACCACTCGCCGCGTGTGCTCGATCGTCTTTGCTCGCTGTCCCACGACATGATCGAAAGAGCTGGAAACTGCTCGTTCGCACGTGCAGTCAGTCAGTCACACGACGACGCTTCCGTCGAGCCGTCTCAATCTTTTCAAATCCTCCATACTTTTGCGTCAGTGCAAACAAACGCTGGCTTTCAGTCTCGACCTCCGTCGAAAGAAGCGCGTGCTCGGTGTTGACTGGCATGTGGCCTGCTCGAGCCCTGCGGTATATGTTGGCGACAGACACGGTGGCTCGCACGGACGCAACACGCTCGGCACGTCATTGCGCTTTACGGCACCACCGGCTTTGCTGCACCGAACATAGAGTGCTGTGGATCGGTTTGCCCTTGCAACAAGAGCACAGCAGCCGCGGGAAAGATGGCGAAAAGTGTCGATGCAAGTGAAGCCGAAAGCAAAGGCATTTGCATCGATAGCATATCAAGTGCTGCTGCTCGTTGTCGAGAGCGACGTCACTGAAGACGTTGCAGCATCTCGTCTACTGCTAATCAGCACGTGATCGATACCGAAGCGTAGGCAGCAGCAGCAAACGCATTGTGTACATGAGTCTCGGGACACGAAAGCCGCTCGTGGCGTGAAACAGTGTCTAGAAGGCCACGAGGCTCTTTCGACCCGCGCGATCCCACGGACGGGTCAAAGCGACTTGACCTGGTCGCGACTTGCTGTACAAGAGAGCTGCGGCTGTACCGTTAACGCTCGCAAAGGCCGCATTCCGAAGGCGGGAGGGAAGAAGGACAAGTGTCGCAGTGTTCATCCATCTTTCAAGAACACAATGCAATGTACGCGTATCGCGCAGAGGTCCACGTCGATGACGTGCGCACAACCGGCTCGAGTCGTGTGCTCTGACTCGGCGTGGGACTGCTGGGGCCCGAGACACAGTCTTGCGATGACAAGTGCCGTCGCTCCTGATCTACCCACACTGTTCGTTTGCCCTTGCTCAGATGCAGATCTAGCCGGTTCCCATCGAGCGCGCTCCCACTTCCGAATACCTTGACCTGTCTAGCTCTGAATCCACGTACTGTATCAGCGTCCGTTTCGAGAGAAAACGGGACGCCGAGCGCACGTAGTTGTTGTGGTAGTGAGAGGTATTGCGCTCGCGTTTCGTGCGCTCGAGCGAGTGTCGATGGCGACGGAACTGCCCTGCGCAAGTGCGTTGTTGAAATATGACGATCCATTATCATTAATACAATTCTGCCTTCCAGCTCGGGGATATCTATCTACACCGCAAAGCTCTAAACTTCATGTGCTACGTATGTCGTTCGTTGATCGATCAAAGCCGATAGCAGCACTTGCCAACCGGCTTCGACTGCGCAGTGTAGCGCTTCCGTCTTACCTATACATACAGTTAGACAGACAGACACCGGTCCTTCTCATAAACCCTGAAGGAGGCGTGTGTGTGTGTGTGTGGCTTGCTCGCTTGTTTGTTTGTTTGTTTGTTTGGTCGGTCGTTGAGTGGGTCGGTCGGCCGATGGCTCTCGCTCTGGAGTCGCCACACGTCCGTTACTCGAGGATCGCCGAGCACAGAAAGTCGATCTCGTCCGAAGACAAGTAGCTCTGGTAGCAGCGGCTCGGCATGGACATGTGCTGGTGAAAGCCCGCGAGGAACGAGTGGCCCGCCGCCGGGAGACGGCTCCACACGCTCTCGTTGAGGTCGCAGTCGACCGAGTCGGGCGTGTACGTAGGCGACCCACTGCACGCGGCCGACGAGAACGACGCGGCCGACGACGACGTCGAGTAGGTCGATCCCGCAGGGGACACGACTTCCGACGTCGGCGTCAGACCTGCAAGGGCCGCCATGTCGAGCATCGAGATGGACGACGGCGACGAGAGGACACTGAGCGTGCTGTGCGTGTCGCGAGCCTTTTTCGTGCGCGCGACCTGACGTTTCTGTCGGTCAAACTTGCGCTGGATCTTGTTGGCCTTGTCCCGGTGGTACAGGCACAGCTGGTGCGGCTGGCCATTGCGCTTGCTCGAGCGCACGTTCGTGCACTTGCCCGTCTTGTAGCGGCACTTGTTGGAGCCCGCGGCGGAAGAGTCCCCCAGTCCCACAATGCGTTGGGTCGAGTCAATCGAAGACGAGTTGGCGACCATTGTGTCGGTCGAGCGGTACAAGTGGCAGTAGTGGGTGGGTGTGGATAGTGGGGGGCGGTGCAGTGAACCGGTTGGTGGTGGTGGTGGTAGGCACTTGAGCGACAGGTGTCGAATTGGAAAATGGCAATGGCAATGGGCTCCGTTCAATTGTTGATGGGCATTGCCACGACCGACTGACCGACTGACTGACTGACTGACTGGCTGACTGGCTGACTGACTGGCTGACTGGCTGGCCGACTGACTCGCCTCGGGTAGGCACCGAAGATAGGAATCCATTGGCTCGTCGCTGGGCGCTCGCTCCGGCGGGCATTGTCATTGCTCCATTCCAGCCGGTTACGACGCGTGGACAGGCCGAGTAGGACGAAGGCGTAATGAGCGCTTCTGGCCGCACTTCAACATGTAAACTTGCAGCTCTGTGCGCTGGTGCCTGAGCATCCACTCGGGCGCTCCGGATACTACCCGCTTCTCGTTGTGCCAATGGATTCATTCAGCTCCGGCAGAGACTTTCGTGCTACGAGCGACTCAGGCGGGCGGACAGTGCTACCATTCGGCCGTGTCCCGACCGGGCCCGGCGTTCGACACACGTGCGACAATGCACGAAGCGACCACTGTCCCTTGGCGTGACGATGCTGTAACCCCCTATCCTCCCGGGCAACCACACTCGAATACGAATCGCGAACATTATGGACTGTCACTATTGATATCTCGATTTGCTCGCGCCATCCCTCGCGCAAATTGGCTGGGCGAGACACGCTGCGCGATTCAAAGTATTATGTTTGACCGGAGGCGGAAAACTACCCACACGCGCCGTGTGCAACGCTGCGGGCCGCTCGCGATAAACCATTAGCAATTTCGAGCTCGTTGGAACGACGCAACACTGCGATGCTGCGCCACGCAATGGCCCTCGAGGCCGAGTTTCGGCCACGCGTGCAGTTAGAAGACGCCACGACACTTCGTGGTGACGGCCATTGCATTGCAACTGGCTCAGGCTCACATGGCCGTGCTCTGGCAATGCCCGACGATAACGTTCGCGGAAGCGTGACCGAGTTCGGGCATCGTAGGCCTGTGTACACAGAGGAGGCAGGAGATCTCGCATGTCCGAAGAGATTGGGCGGTGTGGAAACCTTGTGAGCATCAGGCTATATAGTGGCCAGCCTCTCAGCATGCGACACTGGGTTCCACGGTGGAGATCCGGTCCAGACGTGCAGATTCACGCCTGCTTCCCCCTGCCGCGCCAATCTCTGCACCGGATGCATAGGGCTGACATCGAGGATGTGCCGATTCAGGAAGAAAAGCGTGGCAAAGACCAAGCGCGAGTGGAAACTGATCAGGATGCGAAGTCCGCCAGTGCAGAATGTCCCGCGACTACGTCACTGTATTAACGCGGCTTATCGTTCCGGAAAAGCAAATGCTTTTCCCGCGCATGCGCCATGCATCTCAGGGCTTCCGCCACCGACTTGCACCAAGGCGATAGACATGTCCGCTCATGTTTACGCGGCTGCAAGCCCAGGTACAAGGCGAAAGAATCAAGGGACATACTAGAATAAAAGAGACGGTGGCAACCGAAGCGTAGTGAACGCCTAACGTTGGCGTTTGCATAGATGCCATGTAGGACAACCTCAAAGCAGGGCGATGGTACACGCACGTGCATGCCCGCGGAAAGAAGACAGTGTTGGTGAATGTGGATTACGCGACGTGTGCTCGTTCGCTAGCGTTCGTGTACTGCTGAGAATCACAGAGACCGTGGAATCCTCTCGACCGGCTCTCGGTGGGCGGGGATACATACCGTGCAGGTACGGTCCATTTACGCGATATGCGCTGTATCTGCTTCGCAAGGTGTTCTTTGCGCAGGACCAGCAGTCATCGTGGAAAGGCGACGAGCTGTGAAGGTGAGCGGTCAAGCTGCCCAGTCTGCTGGGCGAGAGGATTCAATGTGATTGGCATAGTGGAGCAGAGAACAGTCTTCCTGCGGACGCTGCTTGGCAGGGATAATGGAGACCCAACTTTGCGAGTCATGTTGCTAGGAGGCTTAGCTCACATACTTTGCAGAGTAGCGAGCGGTGCAAAAGTCGTTGATGCCGCGACAGTATCGCGTGCCCTGCACAGACTGCGCATTGTTCCTCCTCGTGACTATAGTGCCGTTCGAGACTAAGCGTTAGCGGACACCGAGAGCTGCGATCGTGCTTGTGGTCACGGTCACGCCCGCTGAAAGCCCGCCAGCAGCATGGGTTAGCTCCAGGTACCCCCGAGTGCAACGTATGGTCCAGCGGAAGCGCGACATTCGCCACTAGTCCTGATCCGGTTCCCCGCGTTGGAATCCCGGCAGCTGAGGACGAAATTGGCCTTGCACGATGGGATCCGCGGCAACGCACGCTGCCCGCAGAGTAGGTCGATCCGCTATCGAAGCGCGCGAAGCTGCTCCGGCTCCTTCAGCCATGGCTCAACACGATCTCCGACTCGAAAACCTCTCCTCACCTAGCAACGAGGGGAGCGCTGCAGGCTAAGCAAGTCGTGCCCTTCCTCTCTTGACGACTCTCTACGCCAGAGCCGGCAGACGTGTCGTCAGTAAAGACTACCCGTAAGTCTCAAGTCTGCCCAGTTTGTCCGCGTGCAAAGTCTGACTCGCTATATGATATCCGTACCTCTGCACACGAACGGGACACGCCCGCCTCGGGCGCAATCCGGGGGACGGAGGTCATGACGGCGTACATGAGCAATCCACTAGAATCACACGTGCCCGTCCCGTTTCGGAAAGGCCTCTGGCTCCCATGATCACGAGCATGCCACCAGCTGGCGGGTTTCACCCCTCCTAACGGGCTACAAAAACACGCCACCAAATCAAACGGGACATAAAGGAAGATTGAGGTAATCGAAAGCATCCCCCGTCACTGGTACGTGCTAATGATGATCATCGAAATGAAAATTTGCCGTGCCGCTTATACTTTCGCGGCCCAGCCACCCTGGTCTGCACCAGCACTTGCCGTCTCGGGACGCCAAGTGTCGCTGGCGTCGCGCTTTTCCCGAGCGAACGCCTCGCGAAATGGTGTCGCGAGTTCTCGACGCGCTCGAGCGTCTGATGCAGAAATTGTCACACTGCGTGTCTCGAAGTCGCAGCTGCATTCAAGTTGAATGTACCAGAACATCGCCGCGTGGGCCGCTGCCTACCTACGTGCAATACACGCAGCAGGGGCGCTTGGTGCCGACGTCTTTTACGCCGCTACGACACACAATCGATGTGCTTACACAATACGTTCTTAAACGATCGAGCGTACTATCAGAAACTGCAAATGAAATCGTTGTCGGACTGTGCGTTAAAAGTGTGCTGTCGGACTGTGTGTTAGTAGCGTGCTGTCGGACTGTGTGTTAGTAGCGTGCTGTCGGACTGTGCGTTAGTAGCGTGCTGTCGGACTGTGCGTTAGTAGCGTGCTGTCGAGCGGTTCAAGCGTTGTGACAGTAGAGGTCTTTTACTGTAAGACTGTCGCGTACTTCTCCACTCTGAGAATACACGGTGTCCCAAGCAAATCCATCTTGCTCTGTGCATCGACGTCAGGAACGTGCCCCCGTGGCTACGCAAAATCTGTTGGTCGATGGAGGTGCCTCGCAGACTGACGCCATAAATCCCCAACAATCAGGTTGGGCCGTGCTACGGCCACTGTATCCCCAGCTACGTTGCTCTCTAGCGAGTCAGTGAGGTCAGTCAGACAACGTGGGAGACGTGAAACTGCTTCTGCGTTTGCAAAAAGAGCCAACGGCCGAACAAAAGATACTCACGTCTCACTCTGTCTCTCTCCAGTAGTACAGCGAGCGCCCACTAGTTTTCTAGGGTTCCACGACTGCTTCTGCAGTTGTTTTCACGTCAAGATCGATACTTACATCCCACATGATCAGCGACACAGAAGCTGAAGCCGGGAAGAGGTTCCAATATATTGTTAACCCGATCCAGCACGCGACTCTACTCGGTGTCATCGTCAAACGTCCTGTCGTTCCTTCGGCGTTCCATGTATACTCCTGTACGCGTCATGGGCAATGAATGAGCTCAAGCATGACGACTGCGTCCTGACAACGCAATGTTTACATTCGGTTCTATCGAGCAACCACAACGCGATGCCGCTCACGTCATTCGAATGCTGTATCTACCCCGCGTATTCAGGATAAGTGCTGCGACCTCCCAACGCGATATCGAGCGTTGCGCGGCAGAAGTCAGCAGCGCCCCTATTCCGTGTCGAGCGCAACATACGACGCTTAAACGGTGCACTATCATTGCAACCTTTCCTTACGCTCTCCTTATGTTGTTGCTAACTCGGCCCGCACCGAACTACGCCCTCGCAGCCACCAATTGCAGTCGCACATGCTGCTGGCGCTGCGGCCTCGACGTGCGCTAGCGTCGGCGTCTACATTGCGCATGCAATGCCTCACGACGGCTGCGAGCAGCAAAACCATCGCCGACGACGAACATCTGTCGCCAGCCCTCGTCGGTCCCTACATGTCCGAGCGCCTCGACGAGTTCACGCCGGACCGGATCCGCAACTTTAGCATCGTCGCGCATATCGACCACGGCAAATCGGTGCGCTCTGACTTTATAGCGACGGAAAAAACATAGCGCGCATGTGATCATTTCGGCCTGGATAGAAACGAGGTTTTTGTCTCCTCGCTCCCCGTATCAGCTATCTCGCGCATCTGAGCCGTCCGTGTGTGTGTGTTGTTGTTGTTGTTGTTGTTGTCGTTTCTATTTCTATTTCTATTGGACCCCGCGCTCCTGGTTTCAAGACGCTCGCGGACCGCCTGCTGGAGACCAGTGGCAATATCTCGCGGCAGGAGCGCGAGAGCGCGCAGTGCCTCGACACGCTACAGGTCGAGCGAGAGCGCGGGATCACTGTGAAGGCGCAGACGTGCTCCATGATCTGCCGCGACGCGACGTCCGGTCGCCCGCTGCTGCTCAATTTGGTCGACACGCCGGGGCACGTGGACTTTAGTTACGAGGTGAACCGCTCGCTGTCGGCGTGCGAGGGAGTGCTGCTATTGGTGGACTGCGCGCAGGGTATTCAGGCGCAGACATTGGCCACGTACTATGCGGCAAAGGAGCGGCAGCTGCACGTGGTGCCCGTGCTGACGAAAATCGACGTCCCGCATGCAGAGATTGACGACAGTCTCTTGAGTCTGTCGTCGCTGCTGGACGTGGACCCTGACGACGTGCTCTTGACGTCGGCCAAGAGCGGCGACGGCATTGACGACGTGCTGCGCGCAGTGGTCGAGCAGCTGCCGCCGCCGAATCAGTGTGATCGGCACGCACCGCTCCGGTGTTTACTAGTGGACTCGTACTATGATGACTATCGAGGCACTGTGTGCCTTGTTAAGGTCGTGGACGGCGCGCTCTTTCCAGGCGACAAGATCTACAGTGCTCATCAAAAGACAAAGCACGAGGTGCAGGAAACGGGCTTGCTGGTGCCGAAACGATACAAGACCAACGGGCTGTATGCGGGGCAAGTGGGGTACATTATTGCTGGCATGAAGACAACTACCGAAGCTAAAGTCGGCGACACGTTCTTCCGAGAAGGCGCTGCGTCCATGCACTTGAAAGCCTTGCCAGGGTTCCAAGAGGCGCGTAGCATGGTCTTTGCGAGCATGTACCCTACGGACGACTGCAGCTTTGACGAATTGCGCGTGGCCATTGAGAAACTCACGCTGAACGATGCAAGCGTGACGGCTCAGCAAGAAACAAGTGGCGCGCTGGGCATGGGCTTTCGCTGTGGGTTCTTGGGGCTGTTGCACATGGAGGTGTTCCATCAACGTCTTTCTGATGAGCAAGAAATGCAGGTAATGGTCACAGCACCAATGGTACCGTACACTGTGATCGATCCGAAGGGAGCAAAGTCAGCTGTCGAGACTCCTGGCGCTTTCCCGGAATTGACCAAGTATTACGAGATCCTCGAGCCCATGGTAGAAGCATCGATCATCACGCCTGCGTCGTACTTGGGCCCTGTGCTGGCACTTGCTAAAGAGAAGCGCGGCATTCAGACGAACCTGGTTTACCTCGAAGATGAACGCGTCATTGTTACCATTGACGTGCCGTGGCAGGAGGTCGTCACGAACTTCTACAACGAGCTCAAGACAATATCCTCCGGTTATGGTACGCTAGCATCGTCGCGTGTTATTGCCTGGCTATTTTTCTGATGATGTGCATGATTGTCATTCTACAGCAACGCTCAATTACCGCGAGATCGAGCCGCAGAAGTCTGACATCGTGAAGGTGGACTTGTTGATAAACGGGAAAGTCCTCGATGCGTTATCCTTTGTGTGTCATCGCAGCAAAGCTACACTGGAAGGTCGCGCACTATGCCAAAAGCTAAAGCGTGTCATTGACCGACAGCAGTACGAGATATCGATTCAAGCTTCACTGGGCGGCAAGGTCTTTGCCAAGGAACGAATTGCACCGTATCGGAAGGACGTGCTGATAAAGTCTGGCAAGACCGTCGGCGGAGGTGATAGCACTCGGAAGAAGAAACTGCTTGCCAAACAAAAGCAGGGCAAACGTCGAATGAGAACTGTGTCGAACGTGCAGCTGTCGCAAGATGCTTTTTGGTCCGTGCTTTCCAAATAACGATAGACGCCTTGCGTTATGCAATACACGCGAAATGGACGTGGTGCATGCCCAACTTCTTCTCGTCAGACATTGGCATCCCAACTTTATGCTACACAAGACGCTATGTGTGTGGTATGATCATGACCGATCGTCAATGTCCGTTCTGTGGTGCTTGCTCTGATTGAGTAATGCGAAAAAAATGGAGAAAGAATTGTTCTTGTCACACGAAACATACCTCGTGTGCCGGGCTGCAGATTTGCATGCTACGCTAAGCGTCTTGCAAAGTTGCTGTTGCCAACACCTCATTCATATCAGTATCCCAGCCTTTAACCAATGCCTTCCTCTACATCATTATAAGCCTATACGACGAAAGGTCGCATAGGCTCATAATGATGTCTATGGTCACCCGAAAGCGTCGTTGCTGTCCTCAGCTACGCAACGACGTCAATAACGTCATTTTTGAGCTGCCGCCGATGTTAGTCAATGGGCATTTTTCGTCTTCAGCTCAGTCAAGCGGACAAAAGCGGTTACTCTCCTGCAGCTGCTGCACTGCTTCACTTTCGACATTTGTTCCGCCACGATGAGTTACTAGTGCTGTCGTTACTTGCTCATGATTGCAGATCAATCTGCTACGATTCGAATTCCCTCTACTTCCCAGGATCAGCACGCCTTAGGCGCTGTCGACATTGTCGAAGCGTCAAAGAAAAACCCATCCGAAAGATCTTGGGTATGCGATAGAAGATACGCTGATGACTGGTGAGCTGTGGTCGAGCACGTATCCATGCAATTCCATCCAATATGGTCGAGCACGTATCCATGCAATTCCATCCAATATGGTCGAGACAGCTGCAAAGCTCTTCCATCAAGCGATACCTCTTCTAGCACACAATTCTTTGCCACGCCGCACTTCAGCAACATCTTGCAACGTTCGCATCGCGTGCACAATGTCCGGTAGCTGAATGCGCTCTTTCACGGCAAACGTAGACCAAGCAATGACGCGCATCAGATATTGCGACAGAGACTCAGTCTTTGAAAATACTACGAATGCTGTAGCTTACATGTACAAGCATCACTTCGGTATACTGCGTGCGAATAGCATTCCAAGACGCCATGGCGTTCGACTATTCGTTGCGTTGACTTGCAGACATGGTTGCTGTCCGTCGACGATCGCGACCACTCCTCAACAAAAACCATGTGTGACGTCTGCTCGTCAGCGTCATCGGCGACAACTCACTCAGAGTCTCAGCAGTGAGGATCAACACAAAGTGCCCGATACGGATGAGCGATGTCGCCAGGCTTGCCGCACACTCGTTTACTTGCTCGCCTTTTCACGCAGGTATTTTGCAAAGTCCCGTTTGGCAAAAGCCAGTGCTTGCACGACATCATCCACGACTTTGTACGCTGGGTATTCAACGTCATTCTCCGGTCCAGTGTGCATGCCCGTGAGCGTTAGCACCGACTTCCACCTTCCTCCAGCTTCATTCGCGCCGCGAATGTCAGTCTTTGGATTGTCGCCAACCATGTAAATCCGCTCGACATTGCCATGCTGTGCATCAATCAGCGTCTCGACAAACTCAAACGACGCGCGCTGCGGCTTGCCAAACAGCGTCTGCTCGAGCTTGTGGCCTGTGGTGCGGGTAAAGAGGTCTTCCAAGACAGCATGGAAAGCCCCCGCTCCGTATCGAGGCAGGTGAAAGTCGCCCACGTACTGAAAGTCAGAGCACGCCGAGTAGAGTGGCACGTGTTGGCGCTCCCCACGAACGCCACCAGCACCACCAGCCTCGCGCCCTTGAGCATCGGCACCAGCAGTAGCAGCATCAGTAGCTGTTGGATCCACTATCGGCTGATGCCGCAACAGTCCATTGGGCGAGCACAAGACGTCCATAACAATCTGCAGCTCACGCCCCCAATAGATGGGGTCAATGAGCACAAACACAGCAGCAAACGGCTGCGCATCAAAGCGCCCGTTGGCCGCCAGCGGCTCCGCGACCGCCACGTCTGGGTACATTGCTGGAAAGTGGCGATGCAGCTGGTCGACTGTGACCACGTGCTGGAAGCCGTAGTCCTGCATGACGTGGCGCATCTCGCGGCAGTCTTTGCCCACGGCCAGCACCAGTTCGTCGCCGTGTTGTGCCACGAGGTGCTGCATAGGCGTGTGGCTCATGCACAGGCGCGTGGTCGAGATGGCTACATTTGGGCGTAGCCCCAACCGCTGGGTCAGCGACTGGGCCTTTTTCTGTTCGCGCGACCCGCCGCCATTGGTCATAATGGCGAACGGCGTCGCCGTCGCCTCGAGCTCCAGCAGCACGTCGCGCGCGCCGGGGACCGGTGTCTTGCCACGCACGAGCACACCATCGACGTCAAACACGACGCCGAAGGTCGGCGCGACGGACGCAGCGGTCGACGACGCGCTGCGCGGGAGGCCGCCGCGCAGGATGGACGACGTCCGGCGGAGCAGGATCGAAGACATGGCTAACGATTGGCTAAAAAGAGACAACAATACTACCGACGGATATTTTTTGTAGCGCACGAGCCGATAGGGTCAGCCTCGACAATGGGTGGGGGGTAGGGCTATTGTTGTTGACGGCCGGTTGCGCAAACACGCTCGATGGATTATCCGGCGTGTATACACATTCTTCCCTCTCGCCAGCAGCCTGTCTGTCTGTCTGTCTGTCTGTCTGCCTGCCTGCCTGTCTGTCTGTCTGTCTGCCTGTCTGTCTGTCTGTCTGTCTGTTTGTATACACGTCGCACACCGTTTGCGCAATTCGCGAGCGTTGGCTCGATCCTGTCCAACTTCCTCGCGACGCTCACGCGTGGTGTAGGTTACTTTTCCTCCAACCACCGCCTCTCGTCCTCGAATGTATGACGCTGTAACCCCGTGGCCATCCTAGAGTGCCCACCTACAACCCACAAGTGTGCACCTACAACCCACAAGTGTACACCTACAACCCACTTAACTCTGCGCCTTCCGCTCGTGTCACTTTTGTATTTGCCACGTCAGACGCACTCGCTCGAGAGCCGCCGCCACCGGATCACCTCCGCCTCTTCCGCTTCCCCCAATGGCGTCTTCCACCACCGCCGCCGCCACGCGACCCCTCACGCTGCCCGAGAAGATCCTCACGCACTGGGCCGTGGGCCTCACGAAGCCCGAAGTCGCGCCGGGGCAGATGCTCTGCGTCAAGGCGCAGTGGACGCTCGCGTGCGAGATCACGTGGAAGTCCATGGACAAGACGTACCAAGACATGGGCCGCCCGCGCATCTGGCGCAACGACCGCTTCTGGTTGGCCGTCGACCACACGGTCGACCCGCGCGTGAACCACAAACCGCAGCAGCAGATGATGATCAAAGCGTCCGAAGACTTTGCCAAAGAGGCCGCGCTCACGAACTACCAGCCGCCCAACACGACCATTTTGCACACAGAGTTCTACCGCCAGCGCGCGCAGCCGGGGCAGATCGTCGTCGGCGCCGACTCGCACTCGTGCAGCACGGGCGGGTTGGGCGCGTTCGCCATTGGGTTGGGCGCTGCCGACGTCGTCATGCCGCTCGTGACGGGCGAGACGTGGATCAAAGTGCCCGAGACGGTGCTCATTGAGTTTGTCGGCGCGCCGCCGCTGGGCATGGGCGGCAAGGACGTGATGCTGTATACACTGGGCCAGCTCAAGTGCAACACTGTGGCGATCGGCCGCTGCGTCGAGTGGGGCGGGAACATTGCGGCGCTGTCGTGTGACGCGCGCTTTGCCATTAGCAACATGACGGCCGAGTTTGGTGGCATTGCCGGCGTCTTCCCGGCCGACGAGAGCACTGCCGCGTACATTTCCAAGCGCCCGGACCACAACCAGGACGCGCTCTACTTCCGAGCCGACAAAGACGCTCAGTACGTCGAGAAGTTCCAGATCCACTTGGACAACCTCGAGCCGCAGGTGGCTCTGTTCCCGTCGCCGGACAATGTCAAGCCCGTGTCCGAGGTCGTGGGCATGAAGCTCGACGGGTGTTTTATTGGCGCGTGCACGACGGCCGAAGAGGACCTCGTGCTGGGGGCACTGGTGCTTGAGGTGTGTCTCAAGCAAGGCATGACGCCTGTAGCCCAGGGCCAGCGTCGCGTGACTCCTGGGAGCCAGATCATTGTGGACAATCTCAAGAAGCACGGGCTGATTGAAGTGTACGAGAAAGCTGGGTTCACGGTTGGCGCGCCGGGCTGCAGTTTCTGCCTCGGCATTGCTGCCGACGTTGCGGGCGAGAACGAAGTGTGGCTCAGCAGTCAGAACCGGAACTATCGCAACCGCATGGGCAAGGGATCGATTGCCAACCTTGCGTCGGCCATCACGGTTGCTGCGTCCAGCTTCACAATGGAAGTGACGGACCCGACGCCGTTCCTCAAGTTGATTGACAATGAGAAGTTTGACTCGGCGGTGCCCAAGCGGCCTGCAGTGCCTATCACCATTGCCGAAGTGAAGCCAGAGCTCCCGACTACGTCGGAAGCTGGTGACAACGCTGACGCTGCGGCCGCTGCCGCGCTCGAGACGTTCTCGGGCTCTATCAACGGTCGCGTGCAGGTGTTTGGCGACAACATTGACACGGATGCCATTCTCCCGGGCGAGTTTTTGTGCGAGAACGACATGGAGAAGCTCGGAAAGGTTGCGTTCTTGTACACGAACCCCGACTTCCGTGACAAGGTGACTCAGGGCCAGGACGTGATTGTTGCTGGTCACGGCTTTGGCTGCGGGTCTTCGCGAGAGCAAGCGGTTACTGCCATCAAAGGTGCCGGTGTGAAAGCAGTGATTGCTCGCTCGTTTGGATACATCTTTTCGCGCAACTACCAGAACTTTAGTCTGTTGGGCATCCAGCTCGACGACGACCGGTTCTACGAGCTGGCAAAGGAGAACGCGGACATTACGGTCAACATGACTGGCCGCACGATTGAGGTGGGTGGCGAGACGTTCCGGTTCAACATGTCGCTCTTTGAGGAGCGTCTGCTTGCTGGCGGAGGCATTATGCCGCTGTACAAGAAGTTTGGCAACCGTCTCTTTCGTGTGGCAGTGCAGAACCCTGAGGCCGACAAGGGCAGCTGCGGCAGCGGCGGTGGCTGCTCGACCAAGGAAGAGACACCTGCGTCTACAGGAAAGGACATTTCGTGGTAGAGCAGAGGACGGGCGCAGCTGTCGAGGATGGCAGTGATGCAGCAAAGGCAGGAGGAGAGGACCTTTCTTGTGGTAGAGAATGGAGTGACGTTCGTCGAGACGTCGATAGTGATAGAAGGGGCCGAAGCTGTTGTGAAAATGCAAGACATCTCTTGTGCTTTGCTGCTGGTGTGGTGCGTGTCGCTGTGCTGTGCTGTATAGTCGATGGAGTTGGTTTGTCACTTCTTTTTGCTCAGCTCGTGGCAAGTCGAGTTGTTGCTCACTTTTCGAACAAGCGCTCGCAGAAGGGATAAGTGTCTGTGAAGTGTACGTGGTAAGGGACTTATCCTGAATCAGACTGCAGTCATTGCACGGAGTTTGCGAGCTCAATATGTCTTACAAGTGACTCGAGATGGCAGCTACTCGACATCCACACAAGTACGTAAGGGATTCATTCGTATCCATAATCCGACTGAACGGTCAAACAATCCAAATGATGTCGCGCCTAGTTGCATGACTTGCAGCAACGTACGCTTGCAAGGCATTGGTTAGCTCTGTGTCTGCACTCATCCATCTCGTCTTTCACTATCAAACTTGCGGGTCGTTAAACGCCCTGGCTCATAGGTATACTCGAAGCGTTATCAGATAGATGGACTCCACACGCTCAGCATGGCTTTGGTCCCGAGCGTCATATGCTGTCACATACTTTGTGCAGACTGAAAAGCCATGGTCTCTTCGCCTTTGCTCTATTGTCTTGTCATGTTGCATTCTCTTTGGTGTTGAGCATTGGGTCCTGTGCTTGGCAACAGGCTGAATGATTCCCACAAAAGCAGCGAAGAATCTCACGTAAGCCAAGGTGAAGGCGTAATGATCTTGAAAGGTGATAAGGCGCTGTGAAGAAAGAGATGCTTGGCCCAGCCACTCGATGGCATTGTAAGTATCATTTGCTGCTGCTGGCAAGATACCCATGTTCAAAGTGCACCTTCTGCAGCTGTCAGCACTTGGTCGAACATTGGATAAAAGATAGTTGCCTTGTACGTGTGCATTGAATGCACAGCATCGGAAGCTGCGAGCACTGCGGACTATTTGCCACCGCTATTGCAAGTGCCGATGTCACATGGTTAGCGAAGCCAAACTTGTGGCAAGGAGCACCTTTGCACGGGTCAGCTCGTCACATATATTTACCATTGCTCTGTTCACAAATGTTCAGACTTACCACAGCAATCACGATAGCTCACGACATTGCCCAAACGTGTAAGCCAAACACTTCATGCTGTGCTCTGTTACTTCCCAGCCAACAGTCGTGGTACTCACAAGATGGTCTGGTAGAAAAGAGCGTATTGCCCAGACACGATTGCTATGCTTTGCACGTTCACGTCACGCCTTTCAGCCGTCGCGATGCTTACCGTCATCGCCCTCATTGTGCTCAAGCATGAGCAACAAGTCGTTGCAGCAGGAATGAATCCACCGTAGTCCCGAGCAGCATCCGCATCTACGTCTTTACCTATATACGTACCATGCTAAGCTTTTCAAACTTCTACCATCATCATCATCATCATCATCACCAGTCTTGCTGCCCCTCCATCCTCCATCCATCTCGCACGCTCTTTCCATCCTACGCATCATTGTGCTGCGCGATCCAATGCTGCACCCACGTGAGCACGCGCTCGACGTTGCTCTCCATGTCTTCGACCGTCCGACTCGACAGCTCCTGCACAATCTCTGGTGCATAACTCTCACGAGCGTCTTGCAGCACCACTTGCATGATCTCGCACTCGACGTTTTCCGCCACTTTCTTGCTCGAGTACCCGCGCTTCTGCAGCCGGTCAAACAGCGTCGTGTTGTCCACGCGCAGCACAACAACCAGGTCGAACCAGCGCTCGGGGAAAAAGTCACACGTGTGAAAGTCCACCACTTTGCCCCCTTCGGCCATCAGGTCCTCCATCTCGTCACACACTTTGTCCTCGTCCAGCACAAAACAGTCGAATTCTTCGTCACGGCCGCTATGGAGTCCACGCTCTTTGACCTACAGCAGTACCATAACCACCACACGGTAACAGATACCGTCTTGTCACGACAACAACAATATCTCGACCATATTTTCGGTACTTATCATCAATAGTAACGATGTTTTGACACATGAAGAGTAGAAAATGTATGTACCAAGTCGCCGACGTTCACGTGTGCCAAGAGCTGTGATCGTTCCTGTGGGGTTTTAGGGTGCAGTCATGCAGATCGTTGTTAGAATGTACCGATGTGCATAGGAATCGACTTTTCTTCGATAGTGACGGGGTCACGCACTGCAAGTTGTTGGCACATGGAGGTTTTGCCTGTGCCAGGGGTACCAGTTACGAGGACGTTCGGAGGACGAGTCATTTTTGTTGACTGGGCAATTACCACTGGCTCAACGAGTGGGTTAGGGACGGACAGGCTGGTGTTTTGCGTACGGAGACGAGAATTCTTGACTAAGTATACTCCGTGGACATGCGCGACGCGATTAACGTGCTGTAAACGATATCGTCGATACGTCGCGGCATGTGTGTGCGATGTAACAAAGCCGTTTGGCATCAAGCAGCCGAGATTTTGCGTGAATATCGTCATCGAAAACTCGAATTCGGGATGCGGCACTTGCCATTTCGTGCAATGTGCCTATAAGTTAGACGGGCAGTTACTAATGCAGGAACCAAACACACTGCCGACAACAAGACTGTGTAGCTTCGTGTCTGACGAACGGGCATAACTGACTACTTGTGTGCCCTGCTGGATCGTTCCCTGCGACAAGCAGTGATGACGACCCACACGAGCACGTGCATGACCTGATGTCACCGACTGTGACGAAATATGGGAAAGCAGCTTTGACATATTGATCGCCGAGAGTCGTAAGGTCGCTGAAAGGTACAAGCAGCACGCACATGGGTTGTTTACGCTCTTGACACTGACCCTTTTGCAACCACTTTGCACATTTGTACTCGCTTGAACACGTTTGGTCGATGATGGATGATGCTCTGATCGTGAACCTGCGATGCTGCGCTTGATACTGCTGCATGTCCGACAAAGTTTGACTACCGACGCACCTCGGATCGTAACTGGTTCAAGGCAGTACAGTACGCATGTCGATGGCCTCTACATAATGACATGCGATATATCTTGCAGCTTTGCTGTCCTATACATTTCCAGCAAAAACAATCTTGCTATCGCTACTCGTTCGCAGCAGACTGAGTCAATGTAAGTAAGAGTGCGCAACCTCCCGGGTCGAAAAATATAGCGAAACCGCCACCACATCCGGATACAGTCGCACCAGCTCCTTGATCTCATTTCAATTCTGAATTCAATACGTTAGTCTCTGCTTGCTTAATCTGTAGGCGACAGGAACGATGCCACGGTGCCCAAAAACATCAACACGATCGAGAGTCCAGCCAGTCCTGCATCGAGCGCAATCTCAACCGTCGACAAGCGGTGAGCAAAAAGCTTCAGGTAGCAAATACACGGGAAAAACACCGAGACCAGCATCGCGAAAAACGCCCCGAGAAACGACGTTACGCGGGCAAAGTGGGGCACAAAGAGCGCACAGCATAGTGCACCCATTCCAAGCAATGTCCGAATGAATGCTCGGTAAAACACCAACGTCCTGCCTGGCTGATTCCGTGCAGCCGCACGCTTCTGGCTTGGCGAAAGCAGAAACTCCTCCAGTGCCAGCGCAATCGGATGGATTGTGATAGCGATTTTGCTCATGGGATTCAGCGCGATCGTCCAGACCACCATTTGTGTGAGTGCGCCCGGGTACGTTGCAATCAGGTTCAGCGTGATCTCTTTCTGAGTAGCAAGGCCATACATGAGGTAGCCCGCCAGCTCAATCGCGACGTACACAAGTCCTACAATCAAGTACGAGAGGTTGAGCACGCGCGGATAGTCGCCTCGATTTGCCAGGGAGCTGCAAATGGATGGAAAGACCGAGTGGCCACCGAACGCGACCATTGTGAGTCCAATTGCCAGCGGGATACGGTCCACATCGCCAATCACTTGCACAGGCTGTGGGTGCAGCAAACTGCCTGTTTCATATCCAGGTGCTTCAGTGTCGATCGTCAGACCGACATAGAAAATCGCGTAGAGACAGAAGAACGACGAGAAAATGCCTAAGAGACTGAAATACGACAACACCGACATGTGTGTTGTCCACATGGACGGTACAATGAGCAGGAATGCCATGATCGTCACTTGTGCTTCCGTAACGGACGAAATCAAAGCCGCCAACGTATCACCGACTGTTCACCACAGCACACAAAAACACACTTAGTACGGCTATCCGCTTCGACATGTACGTATCACCACTGACAAACTTGACGTACTGAGCACGTAAAACATGGCACAAGCCGTGAAAAGCTCTGCAAAGAACGTGATTCCGATGATCACGCGTCCTCTCGTGCCAAACGCCGCTTCCCCGATATCCGGGTACGTCGTCATGCCTTCTTGGTAGTCCAAGCACTTGCCCAATAACTTCGCTGTATGGTTTGTCACGAGTGTAAAAAAGAGAAAGAGCGGCATACCAATGAGCCAGCCACTGGACCGTAATGAGAAGGGACTCGAGAGCACGCCGACGCCCAATAGCACGTTCACGGCATTGAAGACCGCATCTTTGAAACTGCTTGTGCCTTGGATAGTCGTTGGTTCACTGCTAGTAGTTGGCGACCACAGTCCCTCTCGCTGCTGCTGTTGCTGCAGAAATCGCTGTCGCTCATTGTACGGACTGACACTTAGCGGATCGGGAGGATAGCGAGGCGTCAGACTCATGGACATGGGCGACGTCATCCTAAAGTATCAGATACATAATCACACAGTGTCAGGAAATCAACAGTCAAGACAGTCAAGTGAATCTCTCACCATAACATTAGATTGAAAAACATATGTTACAGATAGATAGATAGAGATAGATAGATAGATAGATAGATAGATAGATAGATAGATAGATAGATAGATAGATAGATAGATAGATAGATAGATAGATAGATAGATAGATAGATAGATAGATAGATAGATATATAGATAGATAGATAGATAGATAGCGTACCGAGCTTCAATTCCTTCCTCGAAAGTCGAGGGCCATGACGGGGCCGACTCTTGGCCAGGAACACGAGCATGGACGACTGGTGAGTAGGACGGGAGAAGACGCTGGCGCTCGCCGCCCGTGGACCCCATGAGACTCACTCGGCTACAATAGCGTCTACAATAAACGCGAAGCAGATGGGCTGCTGCTTAGTCGTATGTGACTGGTGCGACAAGAGTGGCTACGAAGTGCTCGACGTTCGCATTGGTCGAAAGTCGGGTGCGATTGCCCATTTGTTTTAACCCATAGAAACGGAGACGCTGTAATCAGGCGTTACTTCAGCGCGTTCGACTGTGGCGTAAAAAGGGCCGATCGACGCGTTGCAGCGAAGTAGCTGTGCAATGTCTTGACTCCAAATGTATTTTCGCGTTATGGCCATAGCTTTGCGATGTGTCGTAGCCGATACATTTGTCAAGATACACTGCGTCCTGCGAAGTCATTGCTTAGCTGACCATGAGGATGGCCGATCCCGGACACGTGACTTGATCGCTTTCGTCTGCCGATACAGATGACTACGGCAGTTGGGCCGAGTCACGAGAAAAAAACGACGTGGACGACAGTTTGCCTGCATCAGTTCGCCTGTTGACACATGTCCGTCCATCTGCTCTTGTTTTTCCATTGAGCCAGCGGATGGCACAACGTATGTTTGCGGTACTGCGATGAGGCCGATCTTTCGATAGAGGATGTAGCACGTGTGCAAAAGAGGTGTCGTCGATCTTTTCTCTCGCTCACTTCGGGGCTACTGCCTACTGTCTCGTGAGGCAATCGTGTCGTTGTCCAGAGGTCAAACACGTTAGGAATCGTAGAGCTGCTGGACGTATGATATTTAGCATCGCCTTTGCGATCGAATCACAGTCAACGGTGTGCACGGTGCTACCGAAGCCAAACGGCTGTCGGTTGTGTAGTAGTGACATGCACGGCAGATGACATGAGTCATGTCATGTGATACGAGGTCGGCTGAAACTGCTACGATGGAACCGGGTGACGCACAAATCATCAAGTTGTCTGCCACAAAAGGTGTGCGCTCATGCGGTGTAGCCCGAGTTTGGCTGCTGCCATCATTCAGAATTGACTCGCTAGTGACAGCCTGTCGTGCAGTATCAGTGTGCTGATAATAGCTTTGTCGATGTCAACTCGCGCTCCTATGAATCGACACGATGGACGCGACCAAACGGGCTGCGTGGCTTGTCGAAGCGCTTTTCGTAGAGCAGAAGATCGACAAGATTGAAGACGACATGAAGATGCAAGTTATAGTCAACCAGACGCTCAGGATGGCACTGAGGATCTGGTTGCAGTGCTGGTCTGCAGGTCATCCGTAGAGCGCACTGCTGGGAATGCGTCTGTAAATTGGTAATGGTGTTCGGTCGTCGGCATTCTCTCAGGTAACGGGTTCAGCATCGAACGACAAAGTGTTTGCGACCTTTGGTACGACCTCTTGTTAAACTGTCATCCGCTGCTCACGATGACGGCGTCCACTGAAGACTACGTCGACGACGTCGCACGCTACACCCAGCAACGCTCGCTAGAGCACCACAGTGACATTGCCAACTCTCCGACAACATTGTTGTTGCATCCGACATTGGACATCGACACCTGGCATGACGTTTGCCACCAGTGCGAGTAGCAGCAGTAGCAACGCGCTACAGTATGGATGAGCGCACTGTTGCGGTACGTGTGTGTGTGATCTTCGCTTGACGCAGAAACGCCGATGTGAAGCAGTGTTTTGAGTATCACTGCACTTGCGATCTTGTCGCGAGGATCCGTGTTGTACGTGTGCATCTATAGCTACGGAGACACATTCAGCGAAAGCACAACAGTGCATGACGGGACCAGCAATTCGATATCGCTAACACGAGAAGTTCTTGTCTTTCACAAGGTATCGCATCATCAGGTTGACTAGTGCTCTCATTAATTCTCTTATTCGGCCCAGCGACTGTTGCTTGGAGACGTGATGTCTCTTACATGCTGACAAGAAACTGGTCAAACTAGTCTGTTGGGTTTCTCATGTCTTCTTTGTCATGCAAAGAACACGTGAGGCAGGAGCTATCACTCTGAGCTACGTTTCTTGTAGCCACGTCAGAGGTTTTGCATTGGGAGACGAGGAGTGAAGACGACGAGGTAAGTGATGCTATATCTGAAGAGGTGACGAAAAATGGCATAGGTGGGTTGGTGCTGTGGTTCGCAGCATACCACGGAGCATTTGTTGGGCACTGTCGGCGGGTTGGAATCTATGTCGAGGAGCTCTGGTGTAGCTGGCACTTTGGCACTTGTGGTTGTTGCATTTTGCGCAGGAAGTAAGTTATGCTCTTGTCGCACCAGCACGTGTCTACTGGACAATCGAAAACAAGGCGCGGAACAATGAGCTTGGAACAAAGTGTGCGGATAGCTCAATTGGCCGCTCGATTGAATGGATTCTCGATCTGCGCATAAGTTACAACGTACCTTGTGACATCGTACAACTTACTGGATCAGTTGGACGGACTACATCGACTCTTTGGGCGGTGGTGTATCCTCATTCACTTCGTTCTTGATCGAGGACGACTTGAGATCCGACAACGTAAACGAATGGCGTTTGGGTATCGGAGAATCCTGTGAACTGGGTCCACAAGAAGCAGCCGGCAACCCAACCTCGATGTCATCAACACTTCGACGAGTGCATCGCCGTGTGGAACTGTCGCACGTCAACAAAAATGGTTATGAAGCAGCTGATAAGCCAACTTTGGTACGACAGACAAATACTCACCGACTTGAGTTGCGCGAGATTGGCGAGCCGCTCTCGTGCGAGCGCGAAAAGCTTAGACCATTCAAAATCTCCGACAGACCCACGGCCGTGGATATGTCCAAATAATTGTCAATTGCCTGTCGATTGACGTGGTCGGACACTTCATCTTGACTGGGTCGGTCTTGCCCACTGTCATCACTGTCGGAGTCTGCCATTGTGCCTCGTTCATCAAGAGCCTCGACAACGTCAGAAAGCGGCTCTTGGGAAGTTCCAGCTCGACTTGATTTGTCTTGCTCCACAGCAATTGCGTTGGTGGAAACGCCTTCTGGTTGGCGTGTCAAGGCCGTGTTCGAGCTCTCGGAGACGTCCATCTTTATTTCCGATGAAGATGTGAAGCTAAGTCCTCGCTTTGCATTGCGTTTGCTTGATGCAATCGATGGGGCGTGCTTGCGGCGTGAGAGGAGCACAACGCCGAAAACGCTGATGCCGATTCCCAACACAAACATGACTGCTTGCAAAGCCGAGAAGGTGCGAATTTCTTGAAAGTAAATGACGCCGCCTAGTACGCCGCTGATGACCCAATAAGCTTGGTATATGGGGACCATCGACAGTGCGTCGTAGTGGACAAGCCCGCCATTCAGATACTTGATCTGGAGGCACAAACAAAGCACCAGTGCCAGTGCAATGATATATGTTTGATATCTCACGAAACAGCCGGCATCGCCGTCGAACACGCCTTTGAGCAGCTCAGCTGACGACTTAGCAAACAAAATGGATTGGCCCCCCAACGTGCCCGCGAGACCAGCATAACCGACGAGCCGTAAAGTTGCCCACATGGCTGGTGAGCCAACGTGGATGATCCGGTCTTGTTTGCTGACCAAGCACAATCGATCAACAATCTTGATAGCTGCCAAGTGGATAGCAAGCACTAGGAAGACCACGCAAAAGTAGGCGATTGTTAGTGGGTCCCTGTAGAGCTGCATCAGCCTGTCCAAGCTGTACGACGGAGACGTGTGAGACGCAAAGACGACAGCGATCGTAGCACCCACAAAAATCACCAGCGTCGACACCAGGTCCTTTCTGCTGAGCTTTTCGTTATTGAAGCACGGCGCGAGGATCATGTTCCACACGAGTGTCAATGCCGCAAGTGGAGCCAGCAGACTCTGCGGTGCTAGACCAAAAGCCACGAAGTCCAAGATCGACCCCACTAGACACATCATGAACCCAAACATCCACAGTGGCAACCGGTACGGTGCTTTCGGCTCTGCTGCAAGCTCGTTCTGTTTCAGCGCTTTTTTCTGCAAGTTGATCCCGACGCTTGCTAGAAACGAAAAGACCACTGCAATGATGAACCCAATGACCCAAATGTCTGTTGCCGGTCCGTCGTACTTCGTACTAAAGCACTTTCCGTCGTCACTCACACCTGTGCGCGGATTGTCATCAGTTCCACAAACTGTCGTCTGGACAGCTTCCAGTGCCGACTTTGACACTGTTGACGCGCAGTCGATCTCAATGGTATCCATGCAGCTGTCATGACACAAAGTCTCAAAAGTGCCCATCTCACAGACACTAAAGACTGCAAGACACTCAATTCTTTGCAAGGCAGTTGCACAAGTGGTATTGCTCGTTGCATCGATACTGCTCGTGACCACTTTGTCGTACATCTCCTCGGCCGCAGTATCCTAAACCACATGAACGTAACAATATCAGCAAATATCAGTCGTGTTGACAGCCACAATAAGATCGTCATCCGAACAAATAGAGTGATCCTATTTTCGTATTCGTTTATTTTTTACCATATCTTCCCACGACCGTCCATGGCGACAGGCTGAAAAGGTGACAAAATTAGAGCAGAAGCGCAGTGCCGTCGCGTCGGGCACGTCACAGGTCGAGCAGCTTGTAGCCGCAGCGATGGAAAGCCAAGAGGCTGTAAGCAGATGCAGTAGACGGGACATGACAGGTCGATGGATCCTGCAAATTGTACGATGGACGTCCAAACGTAATATACAGCCAAAGGGACACTCGACGCATGCAATAGCGCCGCACAATGGACTACGGCCCTTGCGACGAGTGCATGATATGGTGTCGTTAACGGACGTTATTCTTCGTTAAAGACAGAGAAGAGCGAAACGACGTTCCAGCAGCAGCAGCAGAAACAAACGGCTGCAAGACGAGCGAACGCCTCCGCTTCGAGAGGTTTTTTCTACTAGTTATGTACCGATTGAAAGTAAGTTGTGCAATGGAGCGAGCAACAGTCGCTCTATTGTCTCATTGCATGTGAACACATGACCCAAACAAAGCATATACGACCGAGGGCTTTGACACACACACGGAACCAACAGCCACGAGACTCTTGAGATTTACTTCCAGCGTCGCTACTCTTTTTACTTGAACAAGTCGCCCAATGTCTTTCTTCGCAACGTTTTTTTCGCAGAATGAGTCACGAGAGCATTTCGCCCGAGCTCAAACAGCCGAACAAAGTGCGGGTGAGCGAACACACACGTAGACGCGGGCTCAAAGTCTCCCAAAAACAGTTCTTTTTACCCGAAATGTACCGCCCCTGTCGGTCTCCACATCGCACATCACATTGGCTCTAAACTCGACCAGAGCTTCGCCTCCCTATCGCTATTTCCGTATCCGCAAAGCGCCCACTACTGGTACTTCGCCCGTCGTCGCATCGCGCGCGCCAACGCGTCTCGTCCTTATTACCCATTAGAGTCCCAAAATAGAGACGACCGGCCACCCCACCGAGCGACGGGCAACTCGTTTTTGTACCCATTCGCGACAAACAGCGCCATGTTTAAGCCCATGAAGACAAAGACGACAAAGACGGCGCTGTCCCACCCCTCGTGTTGTCGCGACGACTGGCCGTCCCATGCGCCGCGACTCGTGAGCTCCTCGTCGCCACTGCCTCTGTCGCTGCGTCCGTTGCTCGTGCCCACAGAGAGCGCTGCGCTGCGGCGGCTGCAGCTGCGGTACCAGAGGTACCAGGAAAAGGTCCGTGCGGTCCTCAAGAAGAGCGACGCACGTGGGGAAATGGACGAGCGCGGAGTGAAGACGTCGAGTCTCGCGCTGGCACTCGCCGTGACGAGGCGGACGAGACACGTGGACACTGCAGAAGAAGAAGAAGAAGAAGAAGAAGAAGAGACGAAGGGGAGCGTGGAGAGGGCTGTGGATATCGTACAGCAGCCGTTGCGAACGGCGTCGGTGCTGTCGGAGACCAGTTGTCTCATGCTAAAGTGGCACAAGGACTTGAAGCACGCGAGACGGGACTGGAAAGCAGTTGACAACGGGGCGAACGGACGACGGCACGAGCTGCAAAAGCTGCTGGAGCTGTCGCTCGAGGCGGACGAGACGCTGTTGGTGCAGCAAGAAGGTGCAGAAGAGCTGCTGGACGTCAAGGGACAGGATCATTCAGTTCACTTGATGCAGTCGGACGGCCGTGTCGAGCGCGACGGACGGCGACATGGGTTTGTGAATGTGATGGACCCGTCGTGGCTGTTGGCGTCGATTGCACAGCGCTGTGCAATTGACGCAGCAAGTTCAAGTACAGCTCAAGCGTCAAGTAAACGGCAGTGGAGATGGCCCATTCTGCAACTCGCTGACGTACGGTTGGCAGTCGTGGACCTGCTGTTTGTCTGTCGAGCAGGCGTTGGAGTGAATCTATTGGGACGCCCGCCGTCGTCAGTCGAAACGCATTGCCGACGACTAATTCAGCGCGTACAGGAAACAATGGCAGTACAGCAAGAAGGCTTGGAGACCGCCGGCGTGGACAATGAGCAGATCATGCGGATCTTCAACGGTCTCAAGTCTGACATGTGCATGCCGGCTGTACGATGTCTGGGCTGGCTCTTGACCAAAACGTGGCGTCTTCTCTTTGACGGGCTCCATGTGAACTTGGAGTCTCTCCACCATGTACGTCGTGAGCTGGAGACTCTCGAAGGCGACGTCAGTGTCGTGTTTGCGCCCACGCACAAGAGCCACATGGACTACTTGATCATCAGCTACTTGTGCTTTGCGTATGGCATCCCACTGCCGCGCATTGCTGCCGGGAACAACTTGGACTTGCCTCTCGTAGGCTCTTTCCTGCGCGCCAATGGCAGCTTTTTCATCCGCCGGTCGTTCCGGGACGATCGTCTGTACAAGGAAGTGCTGGAGCAGTACGTGCACGAGCTGTTGCATGACGGAAACCCTGTGGAAGTGTTCATCGAGGGTGGCAGATCGCGCCATGGTCGCGTATGCAAACCCCGTTTGGGTTTTATGTCGATGTTTCTTGATTACGTAAAGGGCACACCTCGCTCTGCATCGCACGACAGTGCAGCTGACAGTGAAAAGAGCACGAAGAAGACGGTTTTGGTCGTTCCAATCTCGCTGGACTACGACAAGGTGTATGAGGTCGATGGATACGTGAATCAGCTACTGGGCAAGCCAAAGGAAAGCGAGAGTCTTGCCGTCTTGCTTCGTTCGGTTTGGGACCTCTTCTTCTTAAGACTCGGTCACGCTTATGTGCGTTTTGGTAAGCCCGTGGCGTTGACAGAGGCTTCTTTGCTTCAGGAGACATCCAATCTCGTTGCCGAGCAGATGCAGACATCTGGCACCATCACGTCGACTGCAATTGTGTCGGCTTTGCTCATGTGGAAGCGTGCGTATGTGACGAAGGAGATGCTCGATGCTTGCACGGTGTGGCTTGTCAAAGAGCTGGAGCAACGCGGTGCAAGTGTGGCTCACATCGATGTCGTGAATATTGCTGCTCATGCTGTATCAATCCTGAATGTGGACACGAAACGCAACGGTGTTCTATCGTCTCAGCTCCAGTATCCGGTGCGAGCACTCGAGCTAGGGTTTTACCGAAACCACTTGCTGCACGTTTTTCTACCCGAGATGGCCGTCATTGGTGCTGTAGACACTGCTCTGCGCCAGCGTGTAAGGTGCGACGAGAGCCACTCGACTCAACGCGAAGTGGACATTCGGGCAGTGTATCAGCAAGCGCGAGAGATGTGGCAGTTTCTGCGCCACATCTGTCGTCACGAGGCCATTGACATCGAAAAGCACGTGACTCAATTTTTCGCTGAAGCTGTTGCATGTGACACTGACAAGTCCCCGGGCAAAGTGACAGTGGACGTAGACAGCTGGACGCGCTCAAAACGCACGAGCTTCGTCTTGTCACTGAACTGGTCCTTCATGGATTCACTGTGGCTGACCATCCAGGGCCTCTGGTGCCTTTTACCTGCTGGAGAAGATGACAGCATTGAACACACTGAGTGTGATGTCGTGCAACGCGTCCAAACTTTGGCAAAAGAGCTGTTTCGTCGCCAGCAACTGTTCCACGCTGAAGCGCTGTGCAGCGAAAGCATCAAGCAGTCGCTGGGGTTCTTGGTCGAGAGTGGCGTCGTATGCTCCGAGCGCTCGCAGGATGGCAAGTCGCGTGTCATGCGTCTCTGTACCAGTGGTGCTGACCCCGCACACGTCCTGGAAGACCTCACGCGGAAGGTGAATGCACGCCGCAAACCCCGTGTGTTTTTGTGGTGGGAAGATGAGCTGCCGCGCAACTTGACGCGTGAGGAGGCGCTGGAGGTCATGACGAGCTCGCAATCCGATCCGACCATTTATGCCGAGTGGATGGCAGTGCCCGTCGCCACGTCGACTGTGAGTTCCCAATGAGTTAATCATAACATATACTGACTGCACCGGTCGCCCGACGAGGTGAACCCAACTTGCAGCCACGTTGGACTGACGCCTCGCCCATCGTTAGCTCCCCCGTCGAAAGCGATAACAGCGACTCACCGTCTGGCACGCGACGGACGAACAAGAGGCTCCACACCCGTCAAAACCGATGTGCCCATCACTAGGCTCCCCCGTCTAAAATGATAGCAGAGACCGTCAGCACGACTGGCCCTCGAAGGATGATTAGCCTCCGGCACCGCCACTTCTCCACTGCGCTGCGTGTGCCCAGAGCCTGTACGGCCTCACGCGTCCAGTGTGGCTCACGGGCGTTGTCTGCTGCATCTGTTCGTGCCGTTTCCAGCACCAATGACGTCCACCCGATGGCGCACGTCCCCGTTTTGCTTCAGGAGACCCTCGCAGCCTTATGTCCAGAGACGATCGACGCAGTTGGACCGCTTCACTTTGTCGACGGCACTGCAGGATGTGGCGGCCACGCACGCGCTATTCTACAGACGTTTCCCGAGGCCAAAGTGCTCTGTGTGGATCGGGATCCCGAGGTCCTGACGACCGCTCAAGCCAATTTAGTCGATTTCCACTGTCGCGTGAGCTTCTGCACTGGATCATACGCTGACTTGACGACGCACTTGAAGCGTGCCACGTTTCCCCGTGAAGTAGACGGCATTTTGGTTGACTTGGGGGCCAATAGTTTCCATTTCGATGCTGCTCGACGTGGGTTCAGTGTGATGAAAGACGGACCGCTGGACATGCGATTCGATCAATCCGATAGCGAACGCCCGACAGCAGCAGATGCAGTCAACACGCTGTCTGAAGTACAGCTTACCAAGATCTTTAGGAGCTATGGAGAGGAGAAACTGGCCAAGGAGTTTGCAAAGGCGATCGTGCGTGAACGGGAGGAACGAGGCACAGTGTTTGAGACGACCAGAGAGCTTCGGGAGTGTATTGAACGCATTGCAAACATGTGGAAGTCACCGAAAGTAAAGAAGGGCTCGCACAAGCAGACGGGCAAGCGTGCGAGCAGGATTGGCAGCACACATCCAGCTACGCGCTGTTTCCAGGCATTGCGAATCCACGTGAATGACGAGCTCCATCATGTTGAAAGGGGCGTGAAGCTTCTTGCAAACCATCTAGCTCCACATCGACGACTCGGTAGGATACTGATGAGGCACACCGAGCGGATCTGGGTTGACGACTTACACTCGTTGTGACATCGTAGTGACAATTGCGTTCCATTCACTCGAAGATCGGCCGATCAAGCGATTCTTCCGTGAGCTGGTATGCATGCATCTCTGCTGGACAAACATAGCTTGAACGGCTTATCTGACATGCTTGAATGTTTCGTGCTAGGATGAGCAAGGCAGAGTCGACGCGGCCGAGAATGAAGACGATGTCAATGAGTGGGATGATCGATGCAGTCACGAAGCAGACGACGGGAATCGAGACGACGATATCAACATGCTCTGCAACAAGCGCTTTCGCCTGACGCGGCGAAAAGCTACGAAAGCCACTGCGGAAGAGATCGCGATCAACTCGCGCTCGCGGGGTGCACGCATGCGCTGTCTCGAACGCATTCGGTGACCACAAGTGTAGCCAGACCTGAGACCGCCATATTGGTAGAAATTGACTCTATGAATGGTGATTGCTTCTTGCTCACCAGCTAAACATGCGTTCACGAATCCTTGCAAGTATGGCCCGACGACGAAGAACACATTGCAACTTGGCTTGCAAAGTCTTCCACGCTGTACACGCGACGCCAGTCCACTGGCCGCTGACATGGCAGACCAAAAAAGTCCACCACATTGTTGTAAATTCCGCGGGAATACACACGATCGAGGTTCTCACTCTTCACGATCTCGTTCGTCGTGAGGGCTGCGCACATCAAGTAGACGTGGAAGAACAATATGTACGCAATCCACGCAATTTGCACGACGTCAAGAAACATGACGCAAAACAGCACCGGTTGAAAGTGTGCGACGCTCCATAGCCAGTGAAACAGTCCGGGAGTGCCCGCAGCAGTACCGCTTGTGTCCACGAGAATATTCCACACTGGCGAGTTCCACTTCCACCATTGCCACTGAATTGCAAAGTCTGCCACAAGCTCAGGTTGCGCTCGTGCAAAGCGCCAGCAAGCAAGAAGTTCTAATCCGATCGAAGACACGGCCGAAAAGAGGAACCCCATGAACACTGCATGATTTTGCGCACCGATTGCATTCACGACGAAGGGGCAATAGTGGTCAAACTTGGCAATGCACATGTTCAACTCAGCACAATGCTTTCCACGAAGTGGCCGCTTATGCAAGCATGTGAGGCACAGCTTTGTCGCACTAGGAAGCTTCGATTCAACAAGCCAGCGGACGTTCTACAAAGCAAGCAATACAACAAAGCAAGACATGCAAAGCAAGACATGCAAAGCAAGACATGATTACCTGATGCTTTTCAAGATCATACGACAACATCTCGAATCGACTTACATGCATTTTCTCGTCGTACGATGTAGACACTTCACCCGGATCGGAAGCAGACGTTTTGTACAGTGTGAATCCAACCATTGCAAACGATGCTGCTGCAAACGCACAGAACGTCGAGCTGCAGTATCCACTAAATCGAGGAAACAGGGCAACAAGGTACCCGATCGACGCGGCGTTGATCCCAAACATGAGCGCTGCTGCCTTGCGCTTATCGCCGTAAGAGCCACGCACGAGTAATCGAAGCACTAGCGCTGCAGCAAATAAAAGACTGGAAAGAGACAGTATGATAGACCACCACCCATTCACTACTACGATCACGTAGCACGCGAGGGGGAAACACCGCCCATGGCACAAAAAACGCGAGCTTATACATGTTGTCCAGCAGCGTTTGTTTCTGCCACAGTCCACATGTCAGCTCGCATGAGGTGTGTTAGCGTAGCAAGCTACGCACCGGAATCGAAGTCCATCGGGAAAGATGCTGCAGCTGTTCGTCTTCGTGTAGAAGGCGACGCGCTCGTGACTTCAAACGAAGCCGCACACGGGCAACTCCATTAGCCGTAAGACCCTCGCTGTTCACGATCGTTGTGTCAGCTCTCGCGTCAAGCAGCAAGCGTACAGCCATGGCAATATCGTTCGCAGCCGCGTGATGCAGCGCTGCAACGAAGACACAAGAAATCGTGTGTGAGCCATATGTGTATGCTGCAAAAAAGCCAAAGCGACAAACGACCCACCAGTGTTGCCATCGACGTCCTGCATATCGACCGAAGCTTGGAGACTGAGGACCATCCGGAACGTATCCAAGTGAAAATGCTGAGGCTGACAAAGCAGCATCAACGCAGTCTTCTGGTGAGCATCTGTTCAACATGACAATCAAACACAATCAGATACAAAGCTGAAAACATTGATACCCCATCCTACATCGTGCTGCACTTTGTAGCTCCTCGCACCCACCTTGTACGCGCTGGTTTATACCCGAGCCCTTGGCCACCAAGTAGGCTGCTGTGATTGGAAAGCAGCACAGGATCGCCTCTAAAAACGGCGAAACTCCCCGTTTGTCTCTGAAAGTCGGCTGAGCTCCATGTCGCAGGAGCAATTCGACTGCATAAATTTGGTTGCAAGAAGCTGCCCAAAACAGTGGCGTTGTCTGCGTCTCTCCTCCTCGAGCATCGACGTTCACTTTCGCTCGCGTCGCTTGGTTGTCTAGTATATATCTTACAATGTGATGCCCATTGGCGTTAGAATAGATTCGCAGCGTATGCACGCAAGTGGTTGTAGTGTATAAGTTGGCTCTTACTCCAGGACTCCCATTTTGCCACTTATTGCAGCATGATGTAAAAGCGTCGCTTTGGATGTTTCGTCCCGTGTATTGAAATCGAAATCGGGGGTCTAAGCAGTAAAAACGCGTAAAAGCATCAACACACGTGAGAAAATAATAGCAGTACCCTTCGATTACGACCTGCCTGCACTTGGAGTACCGCTTTTTTCGTTTACCTGCTTTACGAGCTCCCGAAGCTCAGGAAGCAGCCCGAACTTCGCACAGTCAACAGCAGTGGGTACAGAAAGCTCCCCGTCACATTTAACGCACGAGGGACCGACACTAACGACGTTGCATGACGCACACACGAGATGCGAAGTTGACATAGTAATCTTTGGTCAATGGCTAATGATAATTTTGCAATCTCAGTGAAAAGTCTATGAGTTTGTAGCCATGTTCAGTATGTAGCTATGTTCAGTATGTAGCCATGCTCAGGATGTAGCCATGTTGACGTCAACGAGATGGCAATGTGCGATACAATGATAGAGTTGCATGTGGTACAAAAACGTTCCACGGACAAGATGAACGGTGCGTACAAAGAGTTTGCAATACCTTCCGATCGGCCTGACTAGTGTCGTTCTAAGTTGATTTGAAAGTCTGGTCCATCGATGCATCGCTGCATCCTTTCGGTCAAGACAAGCGCTTAGGAAACAGTCAAAGTGGCTGCGCGAGCGTCGAAGCAAATCGAAAAACGTTTCTATGGAAAGGGTAGCCAAAATGCTGCCATACTTGTAGATCGAAGATTGGTACTGCAACGAGTGTCAGGGCTCCGTGCCTTCTCTGCTCCAGGCAGGCAGGCAGGCGTGCTCGACTACATGAAGGTTTCCGTGCCTTCTGTACTCCAGACAGGCTGCTCGACTGCCTTTTGAACGAGAAATCAAGAGGACAGATGAAGGATCAGCGTCGTTCTCATTCGTGAAAGACCTTCCATTCCGATAGCTGTGAGCATCCATCTATCTGCAGTGGATGCCATGGGAGACCCCGTCGGCACGACGCATCTGCTGAGGATATTGAAGTGCTATTACACCGGCTAAATGTAAGCAGCAAACAAGTTGTTCGAAAGTAGTTGGCCCGTCTAAGGCAGCACGTGTAACTGCACTGGCTTGCAAGAGGCTAGAAAAGGTAGACAGGACAGGTGCTGTGACCAAAGCATCGTGCTAAAGTGAACACTGATGTTTTGACGGGTATGGGTGCATTACAAGATCATCGACGTTTGCGGAACGAAGCTGTTGATGCATTCATGAATCAGGTGCAACAGCGACGGCGAAAGGAATCACAATGCAGCCGATACGATCTCAAGCAAGATGTCTCTCTACATCTCTGGGCACAGCTCCTTGCGGTGGTCCCGATGTGCAACAGCATGCCGCAAACAGTTCCGGCAATTTATCGTAAACGCTATTGTCGCTAAGATGCTTGCTCGCGTTTCCATTCCTGTGCCAACATACCCTCAGAGAGAGGCAGCAAGCGTTTGGTCAGAGGTGACTCGCTGTCGCCCGTTCGTATGTGCAGAAGACTCGTCTACTACATCATAACAACGAGTCTACGGGTGTTCTAGCCGAAATTGAGTTCGTCTCGTTTCCAAATCGCTTTTCGACCGATAGAGCGTCGCTAATATTGCAAATGCGATATTACCGTTGTCAGAAATACAATGGTCCACTGCCTCACGCACTGCAAGCCAAATCAGAACATTATGAATGTTGCCTCGAAAAGAAAAGGATCGCCTGCGCGCGTACTTCAACGCGGTGCATCTAGTGCTGATCCCACTACTTTCGCACCATAACCATTGGCTGCTAGGGTCATTGTCGTGACAGTAGAAGGAGACTTATTGCGATACTGACAACGTTGCAGATTTTGCCTTGCGTCTACGACATCCACGAGTCTTAAATACGCAAGTGTCGACGCCTGTCGATCGTCTGACGTCCTCTTCAAACAAAGTGAAGCGGTTGTGAGTACATGGTATGGAACGCGGACGAGACAAAGTTCGGTGATAAAGAGTTAAAGTGACCGAGTCAATAAAATTCACGCAACATCTTTGCGCTGGACGACCAGTGTGCCACTGGCTCCATGACAATCACTCTGACTTGCTGCAAGCTTCGTTAGAAGTAGAAGAGCCCTCGATTAGTTTGGTTTAAGCGGCGTTTACACCATAGCTTCCACTACTCCATCCAGACATGTCAGATTACATACCAAAGCATCGAAAGAACAAAAAGAATACGGAAATATCTTTATTTACTCTACATTCACAGTTCTGTCCTGGTTGGACTATTTCGAGTAATGACTTACCGGCTACATCTTCACGTCGTTGTTGTAGTCATCAACGGTGGGTAAGTCTTCCCGTCATTGTTGCAGTTGTTTATGGTGGGCATGTCTACACGTTATCGTTATACGTGGGTACGGTGGCAAGTCTTCATGTCATTTTTATTGGTGTTTGTTTACGGTGGACAAGTGATTACGTCATAACTACACTTGCTTGCGGGGGAAACGGTCGATAAACCTTCTGTACGGCATCAACTGGTTCAGCACATTCATGCTACTATATACGTGCCCTTGATCCTGGTACTGTCGGACATACGCACTCCACTGGTAAACAGCGAATTCGAGGACGCTCAAGTCGTTCGTCTTCATGGCACTCTTCATCAGGCTTTTCTCCGCTCCAATTGGCATCATTTTGTAAACGTTTGTAGGACTCACCCGCGATGTCAGCCACAGCTTGAACATGTACGGCAACAATTCTGGACGCTTGGCAAGCAGATCGCGTTGCATCTTGTCAGCAAATCCCTCCAAGCCATCGAAGTGTCGAAGTCGATGGAAAAGTCCAGCCAGCTCCTGTACTTGTCCAGATTCCAGCATACTCTTGACCACGGCATCGTTGCTGAAAGAATGGCCAGGCGTTTTAGACTTGATGCGCCAGGGTCCGGGGGTCTCATGGGAAGCGATCGGCGCCATTGGTTTGTTTATCTCGCGATACCTTTGAACGCCTCTGAGGTACGGTTGCGTTTGAATCCAATCATCGATGCGCAGAATCTTCCATGCGTCCGGTGAAGATGACCAGCCGTTGCCCAACCTCTCCTCGTTTCCTCGTCGTTCATGGTCGACGTCGTCCACTACAGAATCTCGCAGATGCAGGAGAGCTGGCGCGACGGGTGTTCGTGTTTTCAGTCGAGAATCGGTTGACAAGTCGCGAGCAGAATCGTCCGTCTGCCCACTGGTCACAGGAGTCGATTCGGTGCTTCTGCACGAAAGAACGACGAAGGCCGCAAGCACATACGTAGGATAGCGCATACTGGTGATTGACAGCTCCGAGGAAATTCCGAAATGAGCAAACTGTAGAAAGAATGCTAGCGACAGCAAAGCCGGTGACTCCATCGTCGAAGTACCAGCTGAGTTCTCATGAGTCAGCTGCTTTGCTCATTCTAAAGGTGGATGCGGTAATTCAGCCGACGAACCGGCTTCATCGCGATGTCTCATGTTAAGCGCGATTTGTCTACCACTCAAAGAGCTGAGTTATTGCTACTTCGGAACGCAACCGAATCTATGATGTACCTCTGTTTATCGACGCTGCATCTGGTTTACACCGTCTGACTGCTGCTGTTCTTATGTTTCGGTACAAACTCTCGCAGCTGTATCTCGATCGAAGTGGAGACATCTCTACGGATGCAGGCTGGCATCAAACATCTGTCCTTCAATACAGCTGACATTGTAGGACGAGCCTGAATAGATTATGGTGGATAGCATGATCCATCTTTGTCGCCACGATGTGATTAAGCACAATAGGAACGCGCATTCACGAACGAAGAGGCAATTAAAATGTGACACGTCCTTCCTCACCTTCGTGCGGTCACGATCAGGGAACAGCCGCGTAGCAGGAATGGAGCTCATACCATACTTGGGGCTGGCAACAAGTTTGCTCCATGAACTATTCACAAAACAGCAGCTGGTCAAATATAGCCTAGTGAGTACCGGTTCCTGGAGAACTCGTGTAGCTGAGTCTATCTCAATCTCGTTGTACAGCGTAACATTTAATCGATGATCTGTTCTCTTTCTTTGGTTTTTGCCACGGGTGTGTACAGCCGGCGCGAACAGCGTCAAAAGGCACCAGGTAGAAATTACGGATACCAGAGGAATGCTTGAACGGCAGACATCGAGACATGGCGAGTGGTTAGTTTGACAGACAATCTACATTATGTGGTGCGTCGACTTCTTCTTTCGCGACAAGTACTGGCAGATCGCATGACGCACTGATATCATGAGATGAACGAAAGCAACGACATCCTTGCCAGCGAAAGTGCAAGCGCTGGTGTGTGTATTAAATTGCCAGCCAGACATGGCAACATAAACAAGTCCCCCATCTCAGTGCTAAGATATACATTGCGTTGTGCCGGCTCAGCAATATGTATTATTCCCAGCCATAGCTGCATCAACAAGGACCCATGCTACAGTACAATTTCATCAGCAGGTAGTCGTTACGGATGGTTGCTGCTAAAGCTGAAGACCGTATACCTATAAAGTACCGCCGATAATTTGCCGCTCGAAGCGGCGTTGCAAGGAGACATAGTGTAGTCGATACTGACAGATACATTTCCGTGCGGGACGCTGACTTTGGTATTGTCGGCCACAACTTTAAGACGTGACACAACTACCGGTTGGTGTCATTATCACAAGCTGAATGCAGTCAAGCTGTAGATGTCGAATCATTGGGACGCTAATATATCAATAGGACATGACACTGGGCCCGCGAGCTAATCTGACATTTTGCCTGGGGTATCAACAAGTTTGAATGTTGCATAGGCGCTGTATGGACATGGCAGGTGGTAGCACCGCTCTAATACACTCATCGTCATCTAGAATCGGAAGACTGCGCGCTGTTGCTGCTTGCCCGAAGCCGCACATGGCTTTTTATAATGGCTAGTGAATGGATTGTGACGCTAAGCCGCGGTTCGCTCCACAATACTCAGGTTTATTCGGTTTGAGCGCGACAGCTGCGAGATTCCATCGAGAAGATGTGGCAGCAAGTAAGTTGACTTGTCCAACCCAAAACAATCAGTACTTCGTACTTCGCCGTCTCTGCTTTCTTGTGTGAAGCTTTCGTTGTACGAGCTGAGTCCACAACAGATTGAGGATCTCAAGGCGCCCCTTCGCCAAGGACACCGAGGATGAGTCGTTGTCGTAGATAAAACTAATGGAGGACTCGTAGGTATTCAGCATCAGAAGGTAGCACACATCGAGGTCTTCAAGCCCATTTGTTATCAAACAGCCAAGTACCACTCATAAAGCAACATTGACAGGCATAACTCATCGTTTGACTGTAGTGTTTGATGAACAAAAC